ACTATTTCAATATTAATAGAAAGCGCTATATTACATGACGCATTTGGATTTTTTAATGAAGAAACATCGACTCCTTCGTGACTTCAATGCAGCTAATAATGCTGTTTGTTATGTTAATCATAACACACCCAAAACGACCCAGTGATTAAGTCTGTGCAAATGTTGATAATCAACGAACGGTCGTCTTTCATTTCCTTTCATCATTCGCCTGTCATTTAATAATCCTCCGTGTGTCTCAACCAATATCAAGATTGAGCAATGTCTTCCTTCTTATCTCAACTCAACCAGAACCAGATCGATGAAATGCCCCATTTATGAAATCAATTATCATTTGTAGAATTCTTTCTTAACATCGTAAAATCCATACACAAGGATGTTGACGCTAATCACGACATTGCCTATCTCTGGTGAAGTGGAGCCTCAGCAGTAGCAGCAGCAGCAGCAGCAGCAATAGTAGTAGTAGCAATAGTAGTAGTAGTAGTAGTAGTAGTAGTAGTAGCAGTAGTAGTAGAAAAAGGAGAAGTAGTAGTAGTAGAAGCAGCAGTAGAAGAAGGAGAAGAAGAAGTAATAGCAGTAGTAGTAGAAGAAGTAATAGTAGTAGTAGAAGAAGAGGAAGAAGAAGGAGAAGAAGTAGTAGTAATAGAAGTAAGTAGTAGAATACGTAGTAGTAGTAGTAGTAGAAGTAGTAGTAGTAGTAGTAGTAGTAGAAAAAGGAGAAGTAGTAGTAGTAGAAGCAGTAGTAGAAGAAGGAGAAGAATAAGTGATAGCAGTAGTAGTAGAAGTAGTAGTAGTAGTTGTAGAAGAAGAAGGAGAAGAAGTAGTAGTAATAGAAGTAGTAGTAGCAGTAGCAGCACTAGTAGTAGTAAAAGAATAAGAAGTAGTAGTAGTAGTAGTAGTAGTAGTAGTAGTAGTAGTAGTAGTAGTAGTAGTTCTTTCTAAGTACAGCGTGGTTATACTGCGGTCAATAATTATCACCGTTATACATACTCGTTGTATTCATTACTGCTACAAGATTACATTGATCTTTGAAAGTCAATACTACATGTGAGCACATTCACCTTCATGAGAACTTCCAGCTTGGGGTCGACCACATCCTCCCGTCGAGGGGCGGTGACTGTCTGGGAACAATGTGACTCGTTGTAACCCTTGAAGCTCAAGAACAGGAATTCACCAAAATGTGGCGAAACATGCTCTCTTTTCCCACCCAGTAAACCAACAGGGCGTGGGTGATCCTTTGTTATCCAACAATCGTTGTTGCCAAATACAACAATTAATCGAGACTCGCGGAAAATTTTAATTACTTCGCCTCTGCAGATCCTGTTCACGTTAACAGTTTTAATGTTTCATGGCGGTTTTAAAAGGTTGAACAAAGCAATCCTGAGCGGCTTGACTGAGTCACACATTCATTAATAATGCGCCCGAGAAAATCAGTCTGTTTACTGGCTCCCCAAGACACGGCATTGTACTGGGCATAGGATAAGGTAAGATGAAGACACAACAATAAAATGTGGCAGAGTTGTTGGTACGAAGATGGGGTGGGTAGGTTGGGAGATTGGGGTGGTTGGATACGGATATGGGGTGGTTGAGGACTAGGATGGTGGTTGGATTCGAAGATGGTGCATGGATACGGAGATGGGTGGCTGGATACGAAGATGGTGGCTGGATACGGAGATGGGTGGCTGGATACGAAGATGGTGGATGGATACGAAGATGGGTGGCTGGATTCGAAGATGGGTGGCTGGATTCGAAGATGGGTGGATGGGTACGAAGGTGGGTGGATGGATACGAAGATGGTGGATGGATACTAAGATGGGTGGCTGGATTCGAAGATGGGTGGATGGATACGAAGATGGGTGGATAGATGCGAAGATGGAATGATGATACAAAGATGGGTGGATGGATTCGAAGATTGTGCTGTATATAATGAATATGGGATGTCTGGGTACTGAGATAGGGGAGGGTCCATACGAAGATTGCGTGGGAAGATACGAATATGGGAAGAGTTGATCCTGAGTCGGGGTGGGTGGATACTAAGATGGGTGGATTGATATGAAGATGGTGGATGGATACGAAGATGGGTAGATGATACGAAGATGGGTGGCTGGATTCGAAGATGGGTGGCTGGATTCGAAGATGGATGGATGGGTACGAAGATGGGTGGATGGATACGAAGATGGTGGATGGATACGAAGATGGGTGGGTGGGTACTGAGATGGGGAAGGGTCCATACGAAGATTGCGTGGGAAGATACGAATATGGGAAGAGTTGATCCTGAGTCGGGGTGGGTGGATACTAAGATGGGTGGATTGATATGAAGATGGTGGATGGATACGAAGATGGGTAGATGATACGAAGATGGGTGGCTGGATTCGAAGATGGGTGGCTGGATTCGAAGATGGGTGGCTGGATTCGAAGATGGGTGGATGGGTACGAAGATGGGTGGGTGGGTACTGAGATGGGGAAGGGTCCATACGAAGATTGCGTGGGAAGATACGAATATGGGGTGTGTGGATCCTGAAACGGGTTGGGTGGTTACTAAGATGGGGGTGGATGGGTACGAAGATGGGTTGGTGGATTCGAAGATTGTGCTGTAGATACGAATATGGGGTGGGAGGGTACTGAGATGGAAAAGGGTCCATACGAAGATTGTGTGGGAAGATACGAATATGGGGTGTGTGGATCCTGAAACGGGGTGGGTGGTAACTAAGATGGGGGTGGATGGGTACGAAGATGGGTGGATGGATTCGAAGATTGTGCTGTGGATACGAATATGGGGTGAGTTGATCCTGAGACGGGGTGGGTGGATACTCAGATGGGGGTGGATGGGTACGAAGATGGGGAGAATAAGTGCTGACATCGGGGTGGATTGGTTGGAGTTCGGTGTACAACGGTATTTCATATCCGAAAGTCTCTATTCACATGAACAAAATATGTTAAAGCTTGTTACCACTGCACGGTGTTTAGAATTAGATTCGTTATAATCTATATTGTACTACATCCGAATTCGTTATGTCCAGACTTAACTTTCAGAAGAAAAAAACATCGTAGACAGATATCCCGGACCCGTGGTTAGTCACGTGATATATTGTTTAATGACAAAAAGTATCTAAAACTCTATGTTTAAACTACAAGTCACTAATGTTTGCAGTTCTTCATGACTACTTCGCCCATTCCTTCTGACTTTTATATGTTTGAATAAAACTAAAACTTCAGTCAACTTCAGTGTATTCACCAAATTGTTTCATACATGTATCTAAACACATTTTACCAGAGCTACGGTTAAACATTTCCCAATCGGACAGTCTGTACCTAGCTCTACAGACCTGTAGCGGGTACCCGGGTATGGTCGGGTAATAGGGAGGTGGGTACCCGGGTTGTAAATTTGGACTCCGAGCCCTTACAGAGTTACACTCAGAAATAAATATTTCACAATAACATTCTTTAATAATGTTCACACTCACTTATTTTACGTGGTTTGTCTACCCATCCAATCGTTCCCACAGTACAATCACATCTGAAATGTTCTTCTATTAGAATATAAAGTATGTATGAATAAAAAAAATATACTATCAGGAGGATGTATTAGTTTCCTAATTTCCTGCTGCTTGAATCAATAACCACTGCTTAGGGCAATAACTCTCAGACAATGTCAGGCGCCGTTCCCAGACACATCTGACAGCCACGAGCACCTGCAGGCAATGACGTCATAGCCGGAGCGTCAAACAATAGACAATGTTTCTTGAAGCATGATCTTCAAATTGCTTCTGATGAGGTCAGTACAGAGTTTAGTAAATTGAAACGTCAATATTTCGGATAAAATCATTTAATTTTTTTTAATCTGATGAAATCAACAACAACACGACCAAAACGTGAGTGTTTTTGGCCAAGTTTTTCATTCTAAAGCATCTGTGATTACAGACGTATTTGTCAGAATACATTCAGATTCAAAAGACAATTTAAAATATAATAATGATGATACCGTTGATGACTGTAGGAAAACATTAGATAACTTATTTAATATCACAATTAAATATTTCATTACCGGGTTACATTTCCTGAAATCAAAATTACTTTGCTGTGAGATTTAAAGAGGCTAAACTTACAAAATACAGCCCAAAGTTAATTCATGGGTTGTCAATAAATGCTAGAAGTAAAGGTAATCACGATTTTTCCATATTACAAAAGCTAATCTCTCATGGCATGTCGGAACATTTTAAACATAGATTTGATATGGCCTGATCATCAACGTCAGCAGCTATGGGTCAGGCTAGAGGTTGGCTCTTCACGCCTAAAATCGGGTTCGATTCCTCACGTTGGTACAATTTGGAAGCTCATTCTTGGTGTCCCCCGCCGTGATATAGCGGGAACATTACCAAAAGCGACGTAATACCAAACCAACCTATTCATCAAAATCAACCACGTGGTATCGCTGCTGCTGCTGCTGCTGTGGGTACGGAAGAGAGGGTGCAGAGGTGTTCACCCGCTTGCTGAAGCATTTTAATCATGTTGGCGTATTAAATAATATAACAGTATCTAAAATAACACTTAACTGACTTAATTTTGGCTAACAAACGCAGATTGTATCCCCAACTATGTGTAAGCATTTGCTTGTATTTAAAGGGGCGGTCGGGTATAGCCTAGTGGTTAAAGCGTTCGCTCGTCACGCCGAAGACCCGGTTTCGAATCCCGACATGGGTACAATGTGTGAAGCCCATTTCCCTCGCTCTCCATCTCCGACCTCCCTCATCCCCATCGCATGTATCTGTCCTTGATGATAATGTTGCTGATGCTGATAGTGACGGATCAAATGACCACGACATCAATTTTAATCTGTTTCATATCCATCTGCACAGCGCCTGATGTTATACTGATGTTCAAACCTCCAAAGAATAAACCCTAACACCCCCAGCATTGATTGTCGTCCTGAGATATCTGCCTAGAAGCCCAAACACTGTCATGTCTAATTGTCTGCATCCGGGATCACAGGACAGTACACAATGTCTATTAGTAAATCGATTTATTACAACAATGTGGCAACAGAAATAGAATAACCAACTGGCCTCGTTAGGTCTTTAAATACTGGTCCCGTTGGAACAATTGTTCACTGAGGTGGATAATATTTCATTTATTTCACTGTACAGTTTGGAAATACGTTTGGCGGACATGTTGACACTGACTATTCGGCGGCAGCTAATGATGTCACAAGGATTTGCTTTGGAGCTCAACCAGAAAGAAAATCCTTCATGGCTCACATGCGATAATCCCGCTTCCTGGGCCAGAACACCAGTGATAAAAACATCCTCAAGATGGATGAGTCTTTGATTCGGCAAGACATTGAGTAAAAGTTGTAACGCTAATTTGGACATGACATACCCACCCCCGGCAACATAAGGAGGAAATGTCTCTGCAGGGAAGACGGTATAAGGCACTGACCAATCGTCCCTAGGGTCTCTTATGACCCGAGCACTTGAACTAAGAGCCCCTAATATTTGTTTTGATTTGATGACCCCCCTCCTCAGCTCGCTCAGTAAAAAGGGCACATTTAAATAAACGTCATCATCACACTTCATGTAATACCGAGTCCGGGGCACGTTCCGCACGACCCAATCCATTCCTTTAATTACTTTCCGTGAAAGATTCCTGTAGTCTTCGACAATATCAACTTGGACTAAATCCCCGTGAATTACCATTTCCCGTCTTATTAATTCCTGCCAAGAACCATCAGCAGTCGCCCCGACGAGAAACACGACTTCTGCCCCACCCAAATGTTTGACATCATTGCCCCATGTTGCCCTTATCGTCTGCCTCAGCTGCACGTGCTCTGGGTGCGAGCAGACGACAATAATCAAAGTCAAACTAGACGCAAATCGAAGATCGGTGTGGAAGTCAGACTGGGAGTTATTTTTCGTTTTATCGATTTTGTGTTTGGTATCATCGAAACCGAGGTAATTCCGTTTTTTAAGGAAATCCCCATCCCGTAGAGAATTGCGAAATAACAAATGTCTGTCATTGAGTTCCGATATGCCTTCGTCTACCGTCGAATCCTCCACAACATTTCGGATCGAACCCAGCTGGCTATCCATTAGGAAAAAACACAAAACGCACAAAACAATTACACAGATATTTGTTGCCTTCCGAATCGACAGTTGTGGTCTCCTTCCCTTAAGAAATAGGCACACTTTCATTTCCACCTTGGTAGATAACCTTAACACCAATCGATTAAGTAGATCCAAAACGCATCTCAATGGGTGCAGAAAGGCTCTCTTCAGCGCGTATGGCATTGGGAAAAACACACGGATAAACATTCATTGTCGTGCAGGAGATAACTTCACTAAGTTCACACACAAAAAAGTAAGATTACACTTTCCAATCAATTAAACCGATCGATCGCCGCCACAACTTGGGTTCTTGCCTCGCGAACGATGAACACCTGCATACAGTAGTGGGGTACATGCTAATAAACAGAGCACATTAAACATATTCCATGTTCAGTTATGAGTTATTAATATTTGATCCTTTTGCACGAATCTCATGCCATTTCAGGGAATTAAATATCTCCCAGTTTAACATCCGTGAAAATGGCACATGGAAATCCATGTAGGCAAAGCACTGATCTTGAGTATTCCCTTTGAAATATGTCGGTTCAACGAACAAGTTCTAATCCGATGTCGTTTGAAGCTTACACAATCATTCCTGAACTAAAGTCGTTGTGTAGTGTTCTGCCCGTCCCCTTAGTGATGTAACGCGCTGTAGCCGCCGCATCTGCAGTTGTCCTACTCCGTCACAACTCGAACAAAGCACCAGGCAAAGGGCACCTGCTATTAACTGCCTTTGTTCACCTGTGATCGGCCCAACGTTTTGCCGGTGAATCAGTTCATCCTTGTATTAGCGCCCACCGATCCGTCAAACAACAGCCGGTCGTGGTAGATGAATACTTCTCTTCTCTTTGGAGACTGTGCATTAAATATGACTGAGTTCTAAGGAGCCCTTGAGGTTTTTTTACACCACGGTCGATTTAAAGGCTGTATTTGCTTTTTCTTACACGCAAACATTTCCAAAGCACATTTAGCTGTTGTTTAATGGCCCTATGACAAGGCATAAAAATGGCCTTGTCTATTCCAATACGGCCCTTTTTAGTCAAGTGTACTCGGATAAGGTTCTTGTCCGACTGCAAATCCTGGAAATGTGCTTCAGCCCATGTTCTCGGGTTTAAAGGGACACATCAATCGATCCAGTACTTCCAGAGTTATTCTGTGAGCCTCTATCTCCATTGTCTATCTTGTTTCATATCCGATACATTTATCCTCTAACGCAGCAGATGAACTAGGGCTTGCATTAAATCCTCAAGCAGGACAGTATATCAGACTCAAAAGTATTCCTTACTTTCCAGCACCGCGGGACAACGGCCTCCTGTCTCCCCGCCTCCTGCTTATATATGAATCACTCAGTCCTCCGTCTTCATCCAAACAATAGTAATTAGCAACAACCCAGTGATCCATGACTTTGCTTCGATCAATGAGAAGACTCGGTATAATAACTGGATGTCAAACCAAGTTAGCCTAATTGCTTCCTCTGCAGTTGATGCAACAGTTCCCCTCGTGGCCGCTCTTTAACTGATCGATCTGAGCGTGTTGCTCGTGATATCAAAGATTGCATGGATGGACTAGATTTTCTCCGTGAACGCCCGGCGCCAAAACGCGTTCTCAGGCATTCATCAGGATCGGACTTTTCCAAGTTTCATCCATCAGTTTTGTCCCATCCGTCATAACTGTTGGAAGAATCGTTGTCGTCTGCTCCGCATTAAAGGCGGGAACTGCAACACGTATTGGAAGTTTATGTTGTACATATCGTGGAATTCCCTTTACGGCGTTTGGCATATGGGAATCGATTATGTGTGAAGGCTAGATTAATGGTCTCAAATGTCACCGAGACGGTCCTGGAAGCGTGCCCGTAATGTATCCTTGAACTGTGTCTTTCTGCTTAATGTGTCCGTGTGTGTCTTTGGGTAACGCCCTATTGTGCTATAAAGCGTCACATAGTTTTTCATTGTTTTCAGGGATTTTTATTATTCATATTCGAAGGGGTTTTAGTAAAACTTGTTTTGTCGTTTTTTTGTTGGGTCTTTTGTAGCACAGTTAAGATATGTACAACATATGATGAATGCGTTTCAAAAATCTAAAACTTGTTTTCAAGTCAACAAATCTCGCCTGTGGCGGTTCCGAGGTTGACAAGGCTACAGTTAACCCCATGCTTGTCGTAGGCTGACTAAAGGGGATCGGGTGGTCAGAATGCGCCACCTGTCAGATCGAGTGTCAGCATAACCTGGAGGCCTTGATCGCCCCTCATGCTATCAACCACGGGTTTCCCTGGCCAGGCTCGAATATTACTGATATAACTCTTTGAATATTCGGATCAGGTACTCTTTTAGACCTGGTGTACACAGATACAGACCCCCCTAACTTCCACATCAGAGTCGGAAACAGGCGGCAACGATTGCAATTTCAACCAGATGAACCCTTTTTTATAACAAACAATAAGGTTGAGCAGAATTTAGGTTCAGCTGACGCTTGGAAACAAGAATAATTGCAATTGACCGAGCTCTCCTCACTCCAGTCAGTGTGTGTATTAATAACTGAACCTTTACAACGTACTAAATTGGTCATCGGAGATTTGGAATGAGGGATCGATTTGGATACGCGCATAATTTGGGAATACTGTTATTCCAGCTTGTATTGGTGATATTTGCAAATCATCTCTCCTGGATGGTTTATGGGGCAATATAAGGTACCGTATCACGCTAATTTCTATTACAAATGCCTCTATTTCAAGACGCTGAATGTTACTGTCGCGTGGCTCACTTTCAAATGCTGGTACTTAAGCTCGGCAATTTTGTATCATTCCCCTGAAGATGTTTTTGAGTGGAATAATTCTATTCTGAAAATATCAGATTTCACACGGAGGCGGAAATATGGAGCTTAGGGAATTCATTTCCTTGAAGATGCAATAAATTTGTCCTTTTCTGCGACCTTCCTGCAAATGATCATAGGAACAGTTCTCATGTCATTGTAATGAATATTCCGAGTTCCCAAAAAATGAAAAAAAATCTGAAGCACATCGGTTCTAATGATGATTTAACGTCTGGATTTTTGGCATCTGTCGTCTTTAAATTATAGGATATAACTTCTAAAAAATAGAGCATGCCTTTGGGAGAACGCGTGGTAAATTAATGTCAAACAAAGTATTAGCTCTCAAGCGCATCATTAACCTCCATGGAGTTGATAAAGAACCAGTTTTGTGTGAAAATGCTCTTCTATGATAACGATTCGACATCAGGGTAACATTAAACATGACACGTCACAGTGTAAATAAAGGATTGTGTGAAACACCAGCTAAAGACAAAGAGGCGGTGTTATCCGACGGATTTAGATTATAAGACAAATATCGGCTTTACGGTTGTTAGGTCATATATCTTTGACTATCGCTCTCTTATGGTATGGTTCGATTTCAACAAGGGTACGGTGTAATGCGTGTAGCCCGTTTTCTGCAGAAAGCAGCGTAAAATTATACACACTCACTTTCACACTCATCTGTACAATGACGGAAGGGAATAACACCATGCCTCTGTGTATGTGGTGTGTGTGTGTGTGTGTGTGTGTGTGTGTGTGTGTGTGTGTGTGTGTGTGTGTGTGTGTGTGTGTGTGTGTGTGTGTGTGTGTGTGTGTGTGTGTGTGTGTGTCTGTGTGTGTCTGTGTCTGTGTGTGTCTGTGTCTGTGTCTGTGTGTCTGTTTTCGTCTGTGCCCGTGAGTGTGTGTACGTGTGCGTGTGTGCGCGTGAGTGCGCAGTTGTGTTTGTGTACGTGTGTGTGTATGTGTGTCTGTAAGTGAATACGTGTGCGTTCGTGCGTGTGTGTGTATGCGTGCCTGTGCCTGTGCCTGTGCATGTACGTGTGCGTGTGTGCCTGTGTGCGTGTGTGTGCACGTGTCTGTGTGTCCATGAGTGTGTGCCTGCGTGTGTCTACGTATGTGTGCGTGTGTGTTTGTGTGCGTGTTTGTGTGTGCCTGTAAATGATTGAGCGTACGTTCGTGCGCGCGTGTGTGTGTGTCCGTGTGCGTGCCTCTGCCTGTGCCTGCATGTACGTATCTGCTCCGATATTTAACTATAGGAGTTCTAATCACTTCATTTATGGTGAGCATCAGACATACCATCAATCAAGACGACATTGGTGGAGGCAAATCAATATTTCCTCGTAATTAATCCCCTCATTGTTATGGATACTAATGTCATCTGTGATTTTATTGCAAATGTCTTCCGAAAATAGTATTATGCTTCGAGCGAAAATTGTGAGCTTTCAGGAAAATACACATCGTTTTATTTCCAACAAAAATAGATCGGAACAGTGAGCAATAAGCATTTTTTTTAAACTAATATTCCTCGTCAATCATGAATATTTCCCATTCCCCATTTTGACCGATTTGATGAATCAGTCAAAATTTAAGATTCCTCGTCAATCATAAATTGTTTTTTCGATATTTTGATCCCTTTGTAAAGCATTTTTCGAAAATCAAGATTACTCGGCAATCAGGATTTTGTGTTCCATATCGTGACAGTTTTAAGCATCTTTTGAAACTTATGATTCATTGTCAAATTGGAATATTTCATGTTCGATATTCTGACCCTGTTGAAGATTTGTCTAAGATCCCTCTTCTATTCTGGATATTTTCATAATCGACATTTTGATATTTTTGACCGCATGTCATAAAGTATACGGTAATGTGAATATGATGTTGACACAACAGGACATGGTATTGGCGCTGATGGACATTCCCTCTGAGAATATAGCTAACTGGACAGAGGAGGTCAGTCCCATGGGCTGAGTGTATCGCAAAGTGGTCAGAGGAGGTCAGTCCCACTGAGTGTATCGCTAAGTGGTCAGAGATACTGGATCTGATATCGAAATGGCTGTCATGGTAACCATAACTAAAGTTGCCATTTATTGAATTATTCGACAGTTTTACCAAGCAAGTATATGATTAACAATAATGCGTTGAAGCTGACTATATCTTTAACTGCAAATGATGTTGACCTGTATAGTGTAGTGACATGTCCTAGAAGCATTGATTCTATTAATGTTGCAGTGGAAAGAAATATGAGCTGCATAACCTTGATCAACAACATAGCTAGATATATGTTTTGTATTTGAATCATGACTCTAGTTTAAAAAGACAACGTTGGAGACAGTCTTGACATATATAGATTAAATGTCACGTGGGCGATTAAGAGAAGGGTTTGAAAGATGATTCAACCTTTGTCGGGCAAATTATACATGATCGCCATGACGATGGGTCCATATTCCAGTAGTTGCCAACACTCTAGCCATAAATATGGAAAGACTTAATCATGTCTGGTACAGTAAACTACGGTTATAACGAACTCAAAGGGACTACTAATTTCAGTTCGTTATAACCGTAATTCGTTATAAGCATATATACAGCATAACTACAGCAAATAGTCGGGACCAAACAAATAAGTTCGTTATATCCGTCAGTTCGTTATAAGCGTGTTCGTTATAACCGTAGTTTACTGTATTATATTTAACAGGGCAGGGATACGTTGGTGACGCTCGTTCGATTTCCAAAATGTATGGCTCTTTTTAGATTCAACTGTATGTGACTTAAATGATGCAGTATACAATTCATTCACCACAAACGACCCACCCCTCCATCAACCCCTCGATCCAACTATCACGCCACGCCACGCCACGCCACGCCACGCCACACAACACAGACCATTCAACACAAGCACCAACCACGCTCATTTTCTTAACGAATAGGGGGACACATTTAAAATATAGAATAAGAACCTGTGCCCCCACAGCACAATAGAGATCTGCTTAAGGAGAGGGGCGGTCGGGTAGCCTAGTGGTTAAAGCGTTCGCTCGTCACGCCGAAGACCCGGGTTCGATTCCTGACATGGGTACAATGTGTGAAGCCCATTTCTGGTGTCCCCCACCGTGATATTGCTGGAATATTGCTAAAAGCGGCGTAAAACCATACTCACTGACACTGACACTGCTAAAGGAGAAACCGTTAGAAATATTGACATTCCATTGCTTAGGCCTTTTTAAGAAACTCCTAATAGGCTCGGGAAGGTCGTTTGCACGATACCAAAGTGTGTTCTCCGGATCGCCTTCGTTGTATCCTATCAGATCAATCAATTTGTTTCATCACTTGTTTCTCAACGCTGATCTTCATACAACCCTTTGTGATCAAGTATCGCTTTCGTCTGCACTAGAATTTAGATTACATAAGACATCAATATAGCGTCTATTTGCAAGGTAAAGTTACAAAGATTGGGTACTATCATCCGTATAATTATGCTGTGATAGCAATTTCAGTTGACTCAATATGTCGCCTTTATTCTACAGATTACGATGATAAAGCTCGTGTTTAGCGGGGAATCATTCTCACTTGAACACGTTCGATGACATGTTCAGAGTAAACGAGAGATTGGCTTGGAAATTGTGCAAACCGGTGTGTCAAGAGACACTCGGTTTACTGGCCCCATTTGACCTTTAGTAAGGGAAATTGCACCTTCAGAGAAAGCATACATGATAAGATAGCAAACATGATTAGAAATGGCTATTTCCTAAATTAATGTGGCTTTAAGTAACCTTCAAATCACTGTTCTTTTGAACTGCTCATACATTTTTTAAATGCCTTTTGTTTGTTTGTTTGTTTGGTGTTTAACGCCGCATTTAGCAATATTCCAGCTATATGATGGCGGTCGGTAAATAATCGAGTCTGGACCAAACAATCCAGTGATTGACATTATGAGCATCGATCCACGCAATTGGGATACGATGACATGCATCAATCACGTCAGCGAGCCTGACCACCCGATCCCGTCACTGGCCTCTTGCGACAAGCATAGTTGTCTTTTACAGCAAGCATGGGTTGCTGAAGATCTGTTCTACCCCGGATCTTCACGGATCTGCTATGCTGCAGGTGAAAGGGTCTTACGGGTATAAGGTACTACAGGTATGTATACTCAAATGTACCCTGACTAAAATCGTAATACACACATGTACCCCATATTGGGGTTTACGGTACTGGATACGGTACTAGTTTCCGATGCATCAAACCGTTTCCCGTTTCCTTTGCAGGCTTCCTTAGTCCAGACGTTCTAGACTCGCACACTGTTGTATGGGTGCAGCTTCTCGTGAGACGCACCTATTGCCAAGAAAGGTACATTTGTGTCATTTTATTTTGGTAAGAGTACATTCCTCCCACATTTGTCTGATGCTCCGTGATATATCTGTTCGAGGTTGTGTTGTCATTCTGCTCACTCATTTTCTCATTGAACATGTTTGTCACCCATTTTAGAGCAATGTGTAAAGACAGAAAGATTGCATGTCAGTTCATTCTGTTGGCTTCAGGAGTTTTTGTTGTTGTTGTTCTTTTGTGGGTTTTTGGTTTGTTTGTTTTTTTGTGGGTTTTTTTTAGGGGGAGGGGGGGGGGGTTCATTCCCGGCTCTTAACCTTGAACTGATTAGCTTGATTGGGGTTTGTATAAGATCAAGGTCCAGGTCGTGATAGGTGATCCTGCCATGTTTGGCTCACTTTTGGATATATGTTTTCTGATACATTTTAACTAATATTATTCCCGTTCCTCGATTATTACAGTCAGATACAGCTTGAACACTGTTTACTGTGTCACTCACTCACTCACTCACTCACTCACTCACTCACTCACTCACAAAAGTAGAAGTTTCACGGCAGATAATTCAGGTTCAAAAGATATGGTAAATTATTTTAGGAGTATAAGAGAGTTGAACAAATACGAATTTCTCTCCAGATCTCACAGAAAATTATTCTTCCAACTACAAAAGCTCGTATTTTTTATGGTTTTTTTATATATAATAATATTCTGGAGCCTCTACAACTCTTGTTGATATGCAATCCCCGGATCCCTGATCCTCGTCTTGTAAGCACTTGCAGCCACTCGTGGCGCTGGCATTTACGCTTAAAGCGCACGTAAGTTAAATGAACTTTCCGAAGTGTGCCAAGTCATTTCAGTTCTCTCTCCCGAACCACTTTGATAAATGAAGCATCACACAGCTGGCCATTCCAGGATCTCAATTTCTGATTGTGTGACTCTTGATTTCTACCGAAAAATCGTCGACGGGGTGGGATCAATAGTAGAGCGCCGTAAGACGCAGCGAAAGTCAATAGCATTTCCTTCTAAGCACTGACTTAGAAAACTCCATCATTGATCGGGAAATCACGGACGGAATGGCGCACCCCTACTGGAATCGTTGTTTTCATGAACTTAGCCGATCTGTCCGTGTTCCACTCGATTTGACGAGGGGGCAGCAAGGGGTCGATCTCCTTAACCATAGAGGAGGCCATATCAAAACCCCGTCAGAGTGCCTGTTGGCGGTATTTAAATACGAAATCAATTCAGTATTGATTTTTTATCGGTCATGTCGAAATACTTTGTATTTTCGTATCTGACGCGTAACACGAGCTCGTTTATTTCTACTAAATCTAAGGGTCGTTAGATCCTCGTCATATTTAAGACCTTATCAAAGGAAAAGACCATATATGCATAATGGGCAAAGATGGCGTGCATTTCTTACACGGAATGTTAATTTAAATACTGCTGTTTTAAATACAATTGTAGACCGCGTAAAAGAAACGAAACACGTGTTAAACAGTGAATCCTCTTTAACTCGAAGTTTATAAGATAAATATTACATTATTAGGATAACTTTTATATCAGCACGCACATACGGTGACATTAAACTTTGTGAACACCACGTGGTTGATATCGGCAATGATATTTCGAATTTCGAGTTAAACGGAGTTAAGCATCGACATAAGCAGGTCCCCTAAATTGGACATGCAATTAACTACTCAAGCATAAGTAGTTCAATGCGAGTTCCTGATACCAAAATATACCCATAGAAGTCTTCGTGGGTTGATGCCTCGTCACGATAACTAATTAAAGTGTTAAGGTGCAAGGGCTCACCTGGAGACTTTGTTTAATCCGAATTCGGCTAAAAAGAGTCAAATGATTTATCGATATCGTATAAGCAGTAGTTAATAACGTTTAAGTAGAAGGGTTTTTAACCTATGTATACATTGCTATGCAAATGCATATACAGAGTGAGTGAGTGTGGTTTTACGCCGCTTTTAGCAACTTTCCAGCAATATCACGGCGGGGGACACAAGAAATGCTTCACACATTGTACCCATGTGGGAATCGAACCAGGGCCTTCGGTGTGAGGAGCGAACGCTTCAACCACTAGGCTACCCCCTCGTCTAGGCTGCTGGCACAATGGTTAACTTTGAGAGGGTTGAATATGAGAGTCTAGATCCTAGGGGATGTTAGCGCTCGGGTCTTTTCGGCTTCTTCCGCTACTTTAAAAGAAAAGGGTATCATGGCAACGTTCATTAGAAGAGTGTTGCGATCCCATCCAAGAATCCACAACGTGGTCTCTTAAAACAGTTCATGTGTGTTGCTAAAATAGTTTGTGCTAATTTTTTATGTTTTTTTTCTGCTCTTTGGTTAGCTCCTTGGCATCGCTGTTCATCTTCAACGTATTAACTTTCATATGCGTCATATCATTCCTTTATGAATTCATAATTCTACATATTCATACAGAACAATTCCTCTTGACACATATCTGGGAAACCGACATCGTGACTCATCATCTACATCATCACAAAGTTTTGTGACCAGATGAACAGCAAATAGAGCCATTGTTACAAAGTTCAAATCAATATGAGGAGATTTTTAACTCCTTGTTTATTGTGTGCGCGGAGTCAGAGGGTTCTGACCCGCAGTTCTGTCAATATAGTTAATGAAGTCTCGGAAATGAAAACGGCTGAACTTTGATTCCGTGGTGAGGCAAGCGGGAGAACAGTTAGAGCCCCCTGCAATATGCACGACCAGAGCTGGGCGCCCTCAGGGTGTAGAACAGTTTGGTTTGCAAACGTTCCCGTGTTAACGCAACTATGAATAAAGTCGTCTTTATTATCGTCGGTCATTTAAACACTTTTTTATTATGGATTGGTGGTTTACAAATCTTTGTTTTGTTTGTTTGTTGTTTGTTGGTTTGTTTATTTGTTTGTTTGTTTTAAATATTCCAGCTATATGACGGCGGTCTGTGAGTAATCTAAGACAAGCCAGTGAATGATACGAGTCGGGATACGATGACACGCAAATTCTGACCACCCGATCAATTTAGTCGTCATCAAGAATATACAGGTGGATGGAGATATGTTTTCAGACGGAATCCCCAAGAATGTATTATTTATATACTCTTTGGTGTGTTAATCAGCGTAAATAGGACGCACGTCAGAGTATCCTGAAACTGCCGAATACAGGCAGTGACAGCAGCAGTTGGAGTTGAGTGAGTGAGTGAGTTGGGTTTAACGCCACTTTTAACAGTATTCCAGTTATATCGCGGCGTGTCAGCTTAATGTGGGCGTGAAACCCAGGAGCATGGGTATGCTGGTGACAAACCTAGAAACATAATCGGGGCGAACCGGGATTCAAACCAACAATCATAGGTTTCTTGCGTGCCCAAGGGACGCAACTCTGCACAGCGAATCGCGGCGCCTTAGACGACTAGGCCACCCGTGCCCCCTAGTGGGAGTTGAAGTAGTAGAATGCGCAGTAGTGGTAGAATAAAGTAGTAATAATAGCGACACACGTTGTGATAGAAACAGACGGTAGGGATAACAGTGACAGCAGACGTAGTGATAACAGCGGCAGTAGACGTAGTGATAACAGCGGCAGTAGACGTAGTAATGACAGTGACAGTAAACGTAGTGATAACAGCGGCAGTAGACGTAGTGATGACAGCGACAGTAAACGTAGTGATAACAGCGGCAGTAGACGTAGTGATAACAGCGGCAGTAGACGTAGTGATAACAGCGGCAGTAGACGTAGTGATAACAGCGGCAGTAGACGTAGTGATAACAGCGGCAGCAGACGTAGAAATGATAACAGTGACAGTAGACGTAGTGATAACAGCGACAGTAAACGTAGTGATAACAGCGGCAGTAGACGTAGTGATAACAGCGACAGTAAACGTAGTGATAACAGCGGCAGTAGACGTAGTGATAACAGCGGCAGTAGACGTAGTGATAACAGCGGCAGCAGACGTAGTGATAACAGCGGCAGCAGACGTAGTGATAACAGCGACAGTAAACGTAGTGGTAACAGCGGCAGTAAACGTAGTGATAACAGCGGCAGTAAACGTAGTGATAACAGCGGCAGTAGACGTAGTGATAACAGCGGCAGTAGACGTAGTGATAACAGCGGCAGCAGACGTAGTGATAACAGCGGCAGTAGACGTAGTGATAACAGCGACAGTAAACGTAGTGATAACAGCGGCAGTAAACGTAGTGATGACAGCGACAGTAAACGTAGTGATAACAGCGGCAGTAGACGTAGTGATAACAGCGGCAGCAGACGTAGTGATAACAGCGGCAGTAGACGTAGTGATGACAGCGGCAGCAGACGTAGTGATAACAGCGACAGTAAACGTAGTGATAACAGCGGCAGTAGACGTAGTGATAACAGCGGCAGCAGACGTAGTGATAACAGCGGCAGCAGACGTAGTGATAACAGCGGCAGCAGACGTAGTGATAACAGCGGCAGTAGACGTAGTGATGACAGCGACAGTAAACGTAGTGATAACAGCGGCAGTAGACGTAGTGATAACAGCGACAGTAAACGTAGTGATAACAGCGGCAGTAAACGTAGTGATAACAGCGGCAGTAGACGTAGTGATAACAGCGGCAGTAGACGTAGTGATGACAGCGGCAGTAGACGTAGTGATGACAGCGGCAGCAGACGTAGTGATAACAGCGACAGTAGACGTAGTGATAACAGCGGCAGTAGACGTAGTGATAACAGCTGCAGCAGACGTAGTGATGACAGCGGCAGTAGACGTAGTGATAACAGCGACAGTAGACGTAGTGATAACAGTGGCACTAGCAGTAGTGATAACAGCGGCAGTAGACGTGGTGACAACAGCGACAGAAGACCTAGTAGTGATAACAGCGGCAGTAGACGTAGTGGTAACAGCTGCAGTAGACGTAGAAATGATAACAGCGGCAGTAGACGTAGAAGTGATAACGGCGGTAGTAGACGAACAGCGGCAGTAGACGTAGTGATAACAGCGGCAGTAGACGTAGTGATAACAGCGGCAGTAGACGTAGTGATAACAGCGGCAGCAGACGTAGAAATGATAACAGAGACAGTAGACGTAGTGATGACAGCTGTAGTAGATGTAGTGATAACAGTGGCAGTAGACGTAGTGATAACAGCGGCAGTAGATGTAGTGATAACAGCGTCAGTAGACGTAGAAATGATAACAGCGGCAGTAGACGTAGAAGTGATAACGGCGGTAGTAGACGAACAGCGGCAAAAGACGAGGTTCTTCACAAGCACTACGATACCTACGTGCATGGCTGACATCGTGGTGGCCTAGAAGTTTGCCTTCAGTAGATATAGAACGTTTCATCATGTAAATCAGTCATTACATGTGACTCATGTCATCCTACTTATTTCTGAAATGAATGATGCGATGAATAAATGAAATCAATTAAGCAAACGGCGTGTGAGCCGGGGCATTACCATTTCAAAAAAATAATTAAGCATGTCACGAGTGAAATTAATGTCTTAAGTTCAGAGCTTAAGCGAGTCATTTAAAATGAATAAGTTATTTTAACACCTGACCAGTGACTCAGTTTTGTTGTACCTGTGTGTCATCATGGCCTGATGTGTGTGTGTCATCATGGCCCGATGTGTGTGTGTCATCATGGCCCGATGTGTGTGTGTCATCATGGCCCGATGTGTGTGTGTCATCATGGCCCAATGTGTGTGTGTCATCATGGCCCGATGTGTGTGTGTGTCATCATGGCCCGATGTGTGTGTGTGTCATCATGGCCCGATGTGTGTGTGTCATCATGGCCGATGTGTGTGTGTGTGTGTGTGTGTGTGTGTGTGTGTGTGTGTGTGTGTGTGTGTGTGTGTGTGTGTGTGTGTGTGTGTGTGTGTGTGTGTGTGTGTGTGTGTGTGTGTGTGTGTGTGTGTGTGATATCATGGCCCGATGTGTGTGTTGGTGTTACCATGGCCCGATGTGTGTGTGTGTGTGTGTGTGTGTGTGTGTGTGTGTGTGTGTGTGTGTGTGTGTGTGTGTGTGTGTGTGTGTGTGTGTGTGTGTGTGTGTGTGTGTGTGTGTGTGTGTGTGTGTGTGTCAGCGGTAAAACCCAACTCACACACTTGAACTGAAGTAAAGACTGATTTGTTGTTGTTATTGTGTGTTGCTGAAGCTAGCATGCAATGAGAGGACACCAACAAGAACGTCATCATACCACAATTTTAATAGTAGGTTTGAACTACAGTCAATACTGTAAATGTAACTTCGGTTTTTAAAAGATCCCAATGTTCTCCAACGACAAAATAACATGTAATTAAAGCATCACGGATATGTTGACTCACCGTGCCACCCTGGGAGAGGCGATCTGGCGCGTCAATATGGCCGGCCATTATAACGCCGCCATATTTGCCTTCTTCCGGAAACTGGTGTTCAGTAGCACTAGCGACCCCACACAGACAGGGTTGGTCATGCACTTCCTACTAAATCGGGAATTATCGGGTCAAGTTTCAGGAAATTGTTGATTTATGTTATAGTGGTAATTCCAAACGGTTACGGAAAGGAAAGAAACAATACGTCTAGGAACAGGTCGATATCCGCATTGTCAGCGTTATTGTGAGGAGAATTGATACCTGGTGGTTGTGTGCTGTGCAATGAAAACTGTGCAAAGGTGTACGTTTTTATGTCTTTATTACTGAATTGTTTGCGTCCAATGTTTAATTCTGCCCGCAGTCGTTGTTTAATGAGTGTGAGACGTACACGACTGATCGAATTTGGATCGATTACCCGCGTTAAGAACAAATAGTGTCATTTCAGAGTGCGATTCATATGGAACATATAACCATCACTATCAATCTTTAAGAACAAATTGTATAAAACAAAAAACATTAAACCAAGTTATTGAATTACCGTTTATGCCAATTTTAAGGACACGGTGTATTTTCAATTCATTATTGATCTAGGATGTTGTTAATTTAGCCACCTGAGCTGCATCAGAATGCATTGCTGAAATTTATGGCTTTTTTTGTAATGTGAAAACGGCATTCGTTGTTATCCAATTCACCCAAAACGAACCCAAAATGTGGGTGGTGTGGTGGAGGGTGTGGTGGGAGTGGAGGAGTAGGGGTCGTCCATCCATGTCACAATTCGTTTGAGTAAACCTAAAGAATAATGTTAGCTTACACAAGAACAAGGATCAAGAGCTGAAGTGTTGACCTTGAGCAAATATGTCAAGGTCTGTTTGTACTTTACGTTATTGTGAGCATATTCAATACAAAGCATATCGATCCCATACCATATGAATCAAGTGGATATTACATATAATAACGCACAACGTACGACACCAAGGTGGAGCCAGCATTAACCCTATAATTGCAATGGAAACAAAGGATCGCATTCCCATACACACGGGAACACATGGTGATTTTCATTATATCTTCTCCGGATTTGAAGATTTGCTTATATTGCGTATCGATTGCTGTTCCTCGTTATGTTTCATATCTTCATTAGCTAATGAACGTGAATGACATATACAATATGATGTTCGTCAAAAATCTATCCAGCCCAAGATGCTGTGTAATTAAAGGGGCACTGATCTAACGCAATTCCCCGGGACTGGTTGTTGTCTTTGTTATTGTTTTTTCCCAGTGAGTACCCGGATGTATAGCAGAAATCTAGACTAGTTCGCGACCTCTGTTGCGCCATTCGTAAGCGCATTAGTCACTTGTATGGGTAGTAATAAGGGCGTATGGTCACATTGATCAACAAAATGAAACAGTTTTCGAGATAATAAGGAAATGTAGGTATCTCTTTGGGCAATCGGTAATGGTGACGAAGTTTTGAGAAGTCACTTGCTTGGTAATTTTGCGATTTTCGTTAACACTATTTTGACTTGCAACACAAAGTAAATATTTCACCTGAGCCTTGCTTTTTTTATAGTGTGAGTATGTTTTACTAAATGAAACTAGAAATATATGCGTATACTATATCAATTAGTTACTGATTTATAACCAATGAAAAATCAATTTGGCATCATGAGGTTGGATGTCAAAACGCTACAGTATATTAGTAGTAATCGTGAAAGTAGTTCTCCACAAACACTAGGTGACATATTAGTTTTGTTTGTTTGTTGTTAAACGACACACTCAGCAATATTCCAGCTATATGACGACGGTCTGTAAAAAATCGAGTCTGGACCAGACAATCCAGTGATTGACAGTAGAAGATGAATTTCATTTCTTACTTGTATGTCCAGTGTATTTACACCTTAGAGAAAAATACCTGCAAGCTTATTATTACAGGTACCCTAATATTATTAAATTTGTTACACTGCTGTCAAACACAAAAAGAAGTATCTTACAAAATGTTTCCATGTACATATATTATGCCTCTTTATACCGACAGAACTTTATGAAAGAATAATCTTAGCTGCTTGGTATTAGGAAACTATTGTGTATATACATTAAGTACACTTTTATAGATATTTGCCATTTGAATAAGCTACAAACAAAAGAGTTAGAAATGGTATTAAACTATTAGGCTGTCATATGATATTGTGGGACGTGATATTACAAATGGTTTAATATAGTTATATATATATGAAATGATATGATGTGACATGACATGATGTGATATGATATGATAAGAGTTGTGGTGTGATATGATACATGAGGGGATATGATGCAATATGTTATGTGTATTAAAGAAATTGGGTAAATACTGTTTTTTAGTGTACATATTATATGGCTTGCGGTCTTCCAGTGTTGAATAAATATTGATTGATTGATATGATATAAATTGGCATGGAATGACATGGCATTATATGGTATGATATGATAAGATATGATGGGACAAGCTATGAAATTGCTAATGTGTTGTGTGATATGACATGTTGAAATGTGATATAATATAGGTGTGATATATGGTACGATGGTATGTATGGTATGTTATGATATGATAATGGTATATGAAATAATACTATATAGTATGATCTTATTATAATGATACAATATGATATGATGTTATAGAATATGTTGTATGATATAACAAGTTGTGATATGGTAAAATAGAAATTATGAAATTACAGAGTATGGTATTGTACTGTATGTGTGAAATTATGTGACTGTGTTGGGATGCGATGTGGAATTTGAGGTGATTTGGTGAGATATGTACATAAATTGTATATCCTTCAAATTGTACTTTAGGCCTGTGGCTTCTTCAGTACGTGAAATAAAGATTGAGATTGATTGACATCAGGCGCATCGATCCAATTGGGATACGATGACATGCATCAACCAAGTCAGCGAGCCTGACCACCCGATCCCGTTTGTCGCCTTATACGGCATATTAGTAATCGTGGTGGTAGTTCTCCACAAACACCGGGTAGCATATTAGTAATCGTGGTAGTGGTTCCCCGCAAACACCGTGTAGCATATTAGTAATCGTGGTAATGGTTCCCCACAAACACCGGGTGGTATATTAGTAATCGTGGTAGTGGTTCCCCACAAACACCGGGTGGTATATTAGTAATCGTGGTAATGGTTCCCCACAAACACCGGGTGGTATATTAGTAATCGTGGTAATGGTTCCCCACAAACACCGGGTGGTATATTAGTAATCGTGGTAATGGTTCCCCACAAACACCGGGTGGCATATTAGTAATCGTGGTAATGGTTCCCCACAAACGACGGGTGGCATATTAGTAATCGTGGTAATGGTTCCCCACAAACACCGGGTAGTATAACAGTAATCGTGGTAGTGGTTCCCCACAAACACCGGGTGTTATATTAGTAATCGTGGTAATGGTTCCCCACAAACACCGGGTGGTATATTAGTAATCGTGGTGGTGGTTCTCAACAAACACCGGGTGGTATAATAGTAATCGTGGTAATGGTTCCCCACAAACACCGGGTGGCATATTAGTAACCGTGGTAATGGTTCCCCACAAACACCGGGTGGTATATTAGTAATCATGGTAATGGTTCCCAACAAACACCGGGTCGCATATTAGTAACCGTGGTAATGGTTTCCCACAAACACCGGGTGGCATATTAGTAAGCGTGGTGGTAGTTCTCCACAAACACCGGGTGGTATATTAGTAATCTTGGTAATGGTTTCCCACAAACACCAGGTGGCATATTAGTAATTGTAGTGGTAGTTCTCCACAAACACCGGGTGGCATATTAGTGATCGTGGTAATGCTTCTCCAAACACACCGGGTGGCATATTAGTGATCGTGGTAGTGGTTCCCCACAAACACCGGGTGGCATATTAGTGATCGTGGCAGTGGTTCCCCACAAACACCGGGTGGTATATT